TTTGGGAGAAAAAATTAATATAAGACACTGTCTTATTTTCGGGGAAACAGGGTATCAATGATACTCTCTCATAATTGATGTTTCTCTCCCCCCGCCCCTTTCCTCTCTGAGATCAATAAAAACATACTTTAAAAAAAATTAATTCACATCTTGCCCTAGCCAGTGTGGCTCAGTTGGTTGGAGCGTTGTCTCATCCACGAGAAGGTTGAGGGTTTGATTCCTGGTCAGGACACAAATCTAGATTGTGGATTTGATCTTCAACTCGTGTGTAGAGGAGGCAACTGATCAATTGATCTCTCTCCTGCTTCCTCCCTCTCTGCTCAGGTTTCAGTCCTGATGTCACTCATAGGCCAGGCAATCTGGATAAAGGCTCAAAATCTGCCTGAATTCCATCTGGATCAAGACAAAAGCATTAATAATAAAATAAGGATATTAATGAGGAATTCTGCTGCCTTGTCAATGGAGCTGTGAAAGCCGAATGTTGTAAGGAGTGAGCAAGCTTTGTGAAGTGCCAGGTAAATGTCAGATGCCATTCACAAAAGACCTTTCCCCTCATCTGCCCTCCCTCGAACCACAGTTCCTGAGCTGTCTGTGGAGAGGCAGGCCCAGGCCAGAGCCCAGGGAACCTGTAGAAGGCCGGGAGAAAGAATGAGAGCAAGAAGTCCCAGGACAAGCCTCCAGTGAGCTATAGGCAGGAACAGCCCCAAGGAGTGCAGATGCTCTGCTTGCTCAGAAACACACAGTCCTCAGCTCAGAGGACATATTCGGATGCCAAACATTGCTTTATTGGTGACTTCATTCTCAACTGAGAGGTCCTGTCTGACCTCACCTCTGCTAAGAGGCACATCTCAATGCCTGACACAAGGAAGAGAGTGTGTTCATCCAACCCAGCCCCTCGCCGTGGGGAGGGACTTCTGTGATGACCTTATTGTGGAAAGTACTATCGATATTTCTGATTCATCTTAGTACTTTCCACAGAGTCAAGCACACAGCAATCACTTGATAATAATTATAGTGGGCTAGATAGATAGATGAATAGATGGGTGGTGAGGGAGCAGTCTTCCCTATAGACTGTCACAACATTGGGGGTTAGCAACCCTCTTTGAGAAAAGAAAGGAAAGGGAAGGTGCAAAGAGTGCTGCTGTAGCCGGCCCTGAGGGGTACCTCCTCCTGTCCTGACCACACACCTAGAACACAGAGCTCTATAAGAATTTTTAAAATGGCCCTAACTGGTTTGGCTCTGTGTAGATAGAGCATCAGCCTGCGGACTGGCTAGGTCTCAGGTTTGATTCTGGTCAAGGGCATGTACCTTGGTTGCGGGCACATCCCCAGTAGGGAGTGTGCAGAAGGCAGCTGATTGATGTTTCTTTCTCATCAACGTTTCTAACTCTCTCTCCCATCTCTTCCTCTCGGTAAAAAATCAATAAAATATATATATTTTTTAAAACTTTTTAAAAATGTAAGTTATTTGGATGAATTTTCCCAGATCCTCTAGTTGAGTCTATTCTTCTCAGAAAGTGACTTAAAAGCCCAAGAAGGCTCCCACAGTCCTAACATGTCCCATAATCAGAGATGACATTCAACACAATTAACAGCTAATCAACCAGAGTTGTTCTGCCTCAGTAGCAACAGGGTTCCGCCAGGCATTAACGCTTTATGTTGAATCTGGAGGTCAGAGGGAGCCAGGGAAAGGCCTGGGGTCTGGGGCACCTTGGGGAGGAGGGTTCAGGGCAGGGAGCTTTGATCAGCCAACATGAAATGATTTCATTTTGTTTACAACCTGTTCTACTATATTGTTGTAACAGCGTTGAAGGTTAGTCCTGTCCCCAGGGAATCTGTTGGAAATGTCTACCTTTAACTAAAGGCCTCAGGAATGTAGTTTCAGACACAGAAATTGTGTTCTGTTTTATTTCCTTAGGCTTTTTCTCTGTGTGCTTTAGTTTGGATAGGTTCTATTGTTATGTCTTCCATGTCACAGACATTTTTTTTTTTTTCTACCATGTCCAATCTGCTGTTAAAACTGGCCAGTGAATTATTCCTTTCAGGTGTTGTGTTCTTCAATTCCAGAAGTTCGATTTGGTTCTTCTTTATATCTTTCATTCCCCACCTCTCCATATTCATATTTTTCTTTAAGTCCTTGTGTATATTGATAGTACCTTTTAAAACCCTCATCTGCTAATTCCATTCTCTCTCATTTCTGGGTTTGTTTCTATTGACTGTTTTTTCTCCTAATTATGTTTTCCTACTTATTTGCATGTCTATTAATTCTTGACATTCTGAATTTTATGTTGTTGAATGTCTCTATTATGTTGCTGTTCTTTAAAAATTATGCCTGGCATTTATGGTATTAGTGGACGAACTTGTTCTTTAGGAGGCTTGTTTATAAACTTTGTTGGTGGAACATCTAAAAGTTACTTTTACTCTAGGGCTAAAATAGCCCTTCTACATATGCACACCCCTCCTGTCACTTCTCCTGAATCCTCTGGACATTCTACAAAGTCCCTTCCTATTGGCTGGTTGTGAACCCTGGGAACCAACTAGCTCATGGTCTCGGGCAGTTTTTTGCCTAGCATTGTGGAGTTTGCTAGGAATGTACAGTTTAGTATCAGCAGCAGACTCAAGAGGATCATGTTGCTATACTCCCTTCCATTCTGGTACTCTGTCTTGAAAAGTCTCCTCAGCTATCTTCTCAATTCAGCAAGCCACTGTCATCTACTCCAGTTCCCCCTCATATGCTGCAATTCAGAAAGTACTTTCAGTAGAAAGTTAGGGTGTAGCAGAGCTTGCCTCATTGGTTCTGTTCTTTTGGGAATCACTGTCCCTTGCTATGTGCTGTCCAGTTGAGGAAAACAGTGGTCTTGTATATTTTGTGCAATTTCCAAGTTACTTACATTAGGAAGGTATTATAAGTTCAAATTGGTATGTTAAAACCTAAAGCCCAAAGTATTGGTATTAGCATGTGGGACCTTCTGAAAGTGATTAGGTCACGGGGCAGAGCCTTCATGAATGGGATTCGTGCCCTTATAAAGAGGCCTGACAGAGCTCCCTAGAGCTTTCTCCCATATGCGGACACAACAGGTCTACAACCCTCACCAAACCACATTGGTATCCTGACCCCAGACTTCCAGCTCCAGAAATATGCAAAATACATTTCTGTTGTGTATAAGCTACCCAGTCTATGGTATATTGTTATAGCAGCGAGAACAGATTAAGACAGAAGGTGGGTATGACAGAAATGGGAACCTCTGCATTAAGCACAATCGATATTATAGTTCCCAACGAAACACAAAGCAGATCCCCAGCACCACCAATCCTGCACTCTGTCCACCCTAGATGGCTCACTCTTCCCATGAAATTGTGAGATATTCTTTCTTGCCCTGGTCTGGGGCCGTCGTTCACAGGCACTCTTATCTTGCTCCTATTAGCCTCTTAAACCGCAGGCCAATGACACCTTTCTGCAAATCCTTCTTCAGTTAGATACTAAGAGCCTCCCCTGCACTTCCAGAAGTCTGTTCTTTATCCTCTACCACCGCACTGATCGCATTATTTAGTAATTACCTATTTGCTCATCAGTTCCTTTCTGCCTCTCCCTCCAGTGATTGCAGTTTTCCAGCTCTTTGTCCCCTGCCCAGGAATACAGCCTACCATCAAGTAAATCCCAATAAATGCTTGTTAAATGAAGTACTAGATGAATCAAGGAAGAGTAGGAACTATAGGAAAAAAGAGAAGGCTAAGTAGAGATTTCCTGATTCTCACACAGATTATTATGTGTTTTGATATATGCAGTTGACACCAAAGGAGAAAAGCAAGCACAGAGCCTATGGGATGTCTAGAAACAAAGTTGATCTCTGTCTCTCAAGTCCCTGAAATTTGAGAATTATTTTTGTTGTTGTTTTGACCACTTAAAGCATTATCCTTTTTGCCCATAGGAAAAAGCTTTCTGCTAAATCTATCTGGTCCTTCCAGCTAACCCATCTGTGGGCTGATCTGGGGGCATCCAGGATAATCCTCCCTCCCACTCTGCATACACACTAGTGGAATCAGCCCAGAGCACTAAGTATTCCTGGCAGTCTATTTTGGCTTTTCTATGGGCCAAAGAGATGAAGTCATCATCACCAATGAAGTCACCTCTGCATGATTCATCTGACATCAGTTCCCCATGTGAAGTGCTCTTTTTCAGAGCTTCTCCCGGACCATCCAGAACCTAGGGGCCCTGACATTTTTCAAGGTTCTGGAGCTGATCCTCCAACTCCTTGGATCGCTAGTAAATGCCAGAGTCCTGAACTGGGGAAGCCTCCCTGCTCCAGTCCAGGGAGAGACCTTGTCATCCTCATAAAGGCCTTCCCCATGTCTCCAACAACTGCTTCTCCTCTTGTTCCCAAACAGGTCACATTCTGATTCACCCTAGAGTTCTCAAGGGTGAGACCTGTTCTTATTCTTACGGATACGCTCACATTTATAAAGGAGGAAGCTGAGGCCTAGAGAAGTGGGCCTCTCACTAGCATCAGGGACCAAATGCACTCTCCTGGTTGGGTAGACGCCAGTATCTCCTAACCTCTTCCTTCGCATAGACCTTCCTTTCAGAATACTGGACCCAGCAAATGCTGCCTGAAGTAATGGTCCTATAGGCAAAGGGAGCAAGTCCTCCTTTCTTCCCTTCTAAGTGGCAGAAGGTGACCAGGAACCAAGATTTGACTACAAGGCTGTCTTTCTTGTCATTCATACAAAGTTTCTTCCAGATTCACTGCAGCGCGCAATGCACATGTCCACACACACTTAGATGCCTTTGGAGGGATCTGGTGAGATCTTGAGTGTGATTCCACAAGGAACTACCAGTAATCCAGGAAGTCCTCCTGGGACAATAGAAGTCAGATTTTGGGCTTGAGTGTTGAGGTCTCAGAAGTGAGGCACAGGGACCTAACAGTGAGCATTTCCCAAATGTCCTTGAGTGCTGGAAGCCTTGAGATAATCACTCCACCTCTCTAGGTCTGTTTGCTTACCTACAACCCAAGGCGTCTAAGGAAGATGGTCCAGTTGACTTCTGCATTGCCTCTCCACACAGCGTTTTCTAACCCTGTGAATCAATGAAAGGAAGTGGTTTCTCTCATGTCAGCAGGGGGTGCAGCGTCAGCGCAAGAGTACCTCCTCTCCTCCACCCGTCTCCCCCAGTGCCTGATGGTCAAAGCGGCACTAACGGACAGCGAAAGGGACCTGGGCACCCCGCTGTTTCCAGGCTTTGCCCAGGCAGGGGGATAGGGGCTGCTGCCTGGATCGTAGGCCACAGCTTAGAGCACCATAGTGTGTGGCTCCTCAGGGATCACAACCTAACACCTTCGAGGGGCACTGGGGACTGCCAGGGGGCCTCCGAGAATGTCCAGAGGGAACAAAGGTCCATTTGTGGGGTCCAAAGCCAGCCGTGTCTTCTCCCTTTTCTGGCTGGTTGTGGGTGCTTCCATGATTCAAGATGCTGTAACTCCCTTAGTCACCAGTTTCAGAGTAAAGGACTCAAGCTTCTGCTGCGAACGGCTTGGGTGGTTGTGGGAAGGGGGCCCAAGCAATAAGCCAGGAGTCCCTACTTTCTAGCCCAGGGTCGCCCCCTCCCCCTCCCCCATCATTCTACCCGCCTTCATGAAAAAAAAATTTTTTTTTTTAATCCTTTCTTCCGTCCCGGTTTCTAGTTCTGTGGTGTACGCAGAGGCCGATGGATCTTGCCTTCCGGGTGGAGTTTAAATATATATATGTATAATTTTGCATGGCTATTGCGTCATCGTTGGAGTCGTCGTAGTTCCCCCAGCGGCCTCCCCATCTCCCGGCACCGGGGCCTCTGGACGCTTCCGGGCGCTGCCGGCACTTTCGCGAGGAGCCCTCGCTCCTCCCGGGCGCTCCCCTCCCGGCCCCCTCCCCCGCCTCACCTCCCTCCCTCCTCCTCCTCCTCCTCTTCCTCCTCCTCCAGCTCCTCCGCCTCCTCCCGGCTGCCCGGGTGGGGAGTCCAGCTCGGGAAGCCGGCGGGGCCGGTGGCGGGCGCGGGCGGGCGGGGTGCGGAGCGGGCGGCGGAGGCGGGCGAGCGCCCCGCACTCGGGGGCGGCGCCGGGGACCGCCCTCCTCCGGGCCCCGCGGGGCGGGGACAGCCGCCTGGCCCCTCCCCGCGCCGCCCTCCCCAAAGTTGCGGTCTCCCCCGGGGCCGGACAGTCTTATGATCCAGCGGATCCTCCTGGGGAGGCCGGGTCGGGGCGCGGGCGCGGGCGGCGAGCAGCTGGGGCAGCGGGCGGGCGCGGACACCGGGGCCCGGGCGCGGATCCGGGCAGCGACCGAGGCGGCGGCGGCAGCAGCGCCCCGGGCCCGCCGCCCCCTCCCCTCGGGCGGGGGGAGCCGCTGCATGGGGCCGGGGGGCCGGCCGGGCTGCGCGGAGCGGCGGCGGCGGCGGCCCCCCCAGGCGGGCTGGGGCTGAGCCGGGGGCCGGGGCGGGGGCTCCGGGGGGACCATGCCCGGAGGCCGGCCGGCCGCAGCATGGCTCACGGGCCCGGCGCGCTGATGCTCAAGTGCGTGGTGGTGGGCGACGGGGCGGTGGGCAAGACGTGCCTGCTCATGAGCTATGCCAACGACGCCTTCCCGGAGGAGTACGTGCCCACCGTCTTCGACCACTACGCCGGTGAGCCGCGGCGCGCCGCCGGGGGCTGCCCCGTGCCGGGAACTTTGGAGCAACTTTGGCGGAGCCCCCTGGCCGCCTCCCCGGGGCGCTCTCCCCTCCCTCCCCTCCCCCGCCGCGCCCTCCTCTGGGCGCCAGCCCCAACCCCAGGCTTTGCCCCCTGCCACCCCTTTGCGGGCAGATTAGACCCCTCTTCCTACCCCCGCTCCCCCACCTCCGCGCTCAGGGCCAGCTCCCCGCGCTTCCCAACCCCCTTGGCGTCCTGGACCAACCAACCTCCTTGACCTTCCTACCTCCCCTACTGTCCCAAGCCCCCCGGGAAAGCATAGGGGGGACCGGGGCGGGAGACGCGGGGCTCCGGGACTTGGGAAAAGGGGGTAGGCTGTAGAGCTGGGGGGTCCATCGCACCCCCACCCCACTCAGGCCACTTCCTAGTGAGCCTGGCACTAGGGGAAAGGGGTGACATCTCCCTTCCTGCGCCCTCCTGCCTCCAGCTGGGTTGGGAGTGGAAGGTCCCGGTGGGAAGCGAAATTGCCCCAGAGTCTTAAGTAACGGTGAGCTTTTCTCCCCGCCCCCACTTCTGCCCCTGCAGTCAGCGTCACCGTAGGGGGCAAGCAGTACCTCCTGGGACTCTATGACACGGCGGGACAGGTGAGTGTCTTGGCTCCTGGCCTACACACCCACTTCCCTTTCTAAGATTCAGGGTGCTTGCGAAGGGGCCTTTGGAGACTGTGAGGTATCTAAGGAGGGAGGGCGTGTCTGCGAGGGGGCTGTCCTGGATCGTCTTTCTTTCTTTCTTTTTTTTTTTTTTTCTTCAAGTCAGCAAATTAGGAAAAGAAAAAAAAAAAAAACAATCCAACAACAAACCCCACAGACCTCTCACCCCATGGGAACGCCTGGGCTGTGAAAGTTTTTGCTTGTGTGTGTGTGTGTGTGTGTGTGTGCCTTCTGTGTAGTGCCTGGTGTGTGGGTCCCAACTCCTGTTGCAAAGTGGCAGCAGCCAATCGCGAAGCGCCCTTATTTTTGGTTGCAGATGCCCAGGTCTCCCCCTCACAGCCTCTGTCTGGTCCCTCATTGGTGAGCGGCCTGCCTGCCCGGAGGCGCCTGATTGGTGGAAAATGGCATCATCTAATATGATGGGAAGGCATTTGGTCCTGGTTATGTTTATTACAACATCACTGCACTCTGGGACTGGAGTCCCTGAAAACATAATTTGCGGTGTTATCAGGGGACCACGGGGGGGGGGGGGGGGGGGGAGGGGACCACAACAACCATTTAGCCACTCCCTAGGCTGGGCTGGGCTGGAAGGGTTAGGAGTTCAGAGAGAATCTTGGAAGAAGGACTTTATTTATTTTCCCTAGGAAGGCCAGGTGACTGGCTTTTTTTCTGGCAGCCTCTGATCACTATTTGCAAATTAGAGGTGTCTCCTAAAGGGTTAAGGTCTCCTCGCTCTTCCTCTGTCCCAGCTCCACCCTCTTCCCAGACCCACTATTGCTGTGGGGCTAGATTGTATGATGAAGTTTTGCAGAATCCAGGCCTGTGATTAGATATGAGGACTCAGGCAGAAGTTTCCACATGTCGTGCAGACTTGAGATCTTGAGGATTTGTGAGCAGCTGAGAGACGTAGCGAGTGCCTTTGGGGGGTGCTCTTATCTGTAAAATGGGGGGTTAGCACCAAGTCTGGCACATAACAGGTAGGTGCTCAATAAAGGGGAGCTGTTCTTTGTGGCTTTTCTAGTTTTGGATTTCAGAATTGTGGTACCAGGTTAGATTCTGAAAAATGTCTTGTTTGGGGGGCTTCCTTGATGTGACCTCTGGTTTCTAAACTGCTAAATTAGAGAAATATCTGAGGGTTGAGAAACTGTTGCAGTGGGAGGTGCCTGAGGCTGCCCCCCCCCCCCCCCCCTTATCCAGACCGACCCAAGTCAGTACAACCGGTTCTTCTGGGCCCCTTTTGGTTGCTTGCTTTGTATTCTTTCCAGCTATCAGAATGTGTGGAGGCCAACTTTTAAGCAGTACACTCTACTTTAAAAAAAAAAAGAAAAAATATATATATATAAATTTTTTTACAGAGAGGAAGAGAGAGGGATAGAGAGTTAGAAACATCGATGAGAGAGAATCATCGATCAGCTGCCTCCTGCACACCCCCTACTGGGGATGTGCCTGCAACCCAGGTACATGCCCTTGACCGGAATGGAACCTGGGATCTTTCAGTCCACAGAGCGACACTCCATTCACACAGCCAAACCGGTTTCGACAGTACACTCTACTTTTAAACAACAGGTTAAAATTATTGGTTGACAGGAGTCAGGTTTTAAAATATGGCCTCTATTTTTAACTTCTGTCACTACCCCTTCTTTCCTTTTCTCTCTTACTCTTCACCAAGACTATTTTTTTTTTTTTTTTTACCACAGTCCCTATTCAACAGGACCTGTCTATGTGAGAGCTGTTCTGTGCACATTCAAACCCAATTAATATTTATTGAGTTTCTTCTATATATTAGGCATGGGATGACTACTTGCAAATTCTATCTAATAAAGAGGGAATATGCTAATTGACCATCACCCCCTCACACAATAGTGGCACCAAAGCCAATAAAGAGTAAATATGCTAATTGACTGCCACATCCTCAAAGATGGTGGCACCCATAGCCACAAAATGGCGGCACCTAGTCCCCTCAGTTCCCCTGGGGTGGCAGGCTGTCCCCGTCCCCAGGCAGGTCCACCTGCTCTGCATGCCTGCCTCCACAGTCCCCCAGTCCCTTCAGCCCCAGAGCCACCCATGGCCAGCCCAAGGTGCAGGCAAGCCTCAAATGGTGACTGTCTGGCTTCCCAGGCCTGGCCTGAGGTGCAGGAAAGCTGCTCAGGGCCACCCGAGGCTCAGGTAACCAGGGCCAGTTGAGGCTTGTGCTGCCGGCAGTGGAAGCAGCAGAGGTGTGATTTGGGGCATCTCCTTCTCCTGATCTCTGGGTTACCTCCTGCCCATGAGGGCTCCAGGACTGTGAGAAAGGGCAGGCCGGGCTGAGGGACCACCCCCTCCAGTGCATGAATTTTCGTGCACCAGGCTTCTAGTATTATTATATCTTCTTTACAAAACAACCCTATGAGATAGGTGATATTTCGTCTTTGCTGATGAGGAAACTGGGACTCAGAGAGATGAGGTTGCTGACCTAAGGTCACAGCTACTGAGAGGTCTTGCTTTGTTTAGGACATGGGTCTGAATCTGTCCTACTTGAGGCAGAAAGCCAGGGAGGTGCCGAGATACCACCTGAGTTGATGGAATTGCTTGTGTGTCTGTAGACATTGTATTTGGAATTTTTAAAAAATATATTTTTATATTGATTTCAGAGAGGAAGGGTGAAGGAGAGAAATATAGAAAAATCAATGAATAAGAGAGAATTATTGATCATCTGCCCCCTGCACATCCCTTCCCAGAAATTGAGCCCACAACCTAGTGGGCCCTGACTGGGAATCCAACCATGACTTCTTGGTTCATAAGTCAATGCTCAACCACTGAGCCACACTGTGAAATCACAGCCATTTTCTGACTGGGGGATGTATGCCACCTTTATAGAGAATAGAGAACCAACCCCTGACCTAAAAGTCACTCATAATTAGGGCCTGCTACAAATTCAGGGCTTTCCATATGACATCATAATTGTTGTTTCCTATTACGATTGTCAGATATATACCAAAGTGGGGGGTCAATGAGGTTCAAATATTAATGTTTTTGCCCAGTGTGTAGGACACCTCCTCTGTTGGTCAAGTTGGTGTTTTTCCCAATGTCTGAGACTTTTGCATAAAAGTTAGTGATAATTCATCTTTCAGCACCTAAGGGTTTATTACTACTGTAATATGCAATCTTAGCAAAGTAATCACCAGTGAGATTAAATGGCAAGTGCCTACTGTGTACCTAGCACTGGGTCAAAAGAATAAATTTATTAGGAGGATCTGCCATGACTGATGACAGCATAGGGGGAAGTGTCTGGATTAGATACCTGTTTATGCGTGTTATTTAGGAGATTTCAATATTGTATTTGCTCATTAAGACCCATGCCTCTATGAATAGATACCAGGTTAATCTTATAGTAACAATGATAAACACGTTCGCACGGGTACACACACACACACACACACACACACACACACACGAAAATCCTTAAGCCTGATGGGCAGTAGAGGAAAGGCTCTCCCTTGCTCTACTAGTCATGTGATTCTAAGTTATTTTCTTTCTAGGTGATC